AAAGAAGTAATTGCTCGTTGGATCCAGTCCATACCAAACAAATATCGTCCACACATCTCTAATACGCGAGTAAATTTGCTGCAAAAGGGCTGTTCATTATTTTTTGTTCCAAATTGTACATGAAAACTTTAGTTTAAAACGGTGATAAGCAAGAACCTATGGCTAGTGCGGTTATCTGTCTCATGAAACAGTTATTAAACCTATAAAAAAATTCTGACCTAAAGTAGTCTCCAATAATAAAAGCAAATCGTAAATCACAATTGAAGGTAGGCGATTGTTTTCAAGTAACAAATCTCTAACTAACTGAACACACTCTGAAGGAGGGATGCTAGGGAACAAATTCTTGACATCCAGGAAAATTAGCTTTGCATTGTTAGGAATGTTTATGTTCTTTAAATAGTTAGTAAATTCAATGGAGTTTTTTATGGAATAAGAGCTCGTGAAATTTATAGTCTCCCTGAGAATATCGTTCAACCACGACAAGAGGCGCGGCGGTAGCATGGAGAGTTGACGAAAGATAACACGAGTCTTATAGGGACGCCTTCCTTATGGATCTTAGGTAAACCGTATAAAAGAGGGGTTCTAGGGTTCATTGGATATAATTGGTTCTTCGTTTCGTTAAAATATTCCAACGAGAGGTTCTATCTAAAACCAACTTCAAGTGAGTGAAGAAGGAATTTGTAGGGTCCTTATTATTATTTATCGGTTGGAAATCTTCACAATCTAAAAAGTTCAAGACCTTAGCAATATAATCCCCTCTTTTTATGATCACCAGACAAGAGCCCTTGTCCGCCTTAGTAAGAAGTAAATCATTTGTTTTTATCTTAAGTTTAGGAGATCTTAGATGTGAAATATTGAAATTGAATTTCCGGTTATTATTATTATTAATATTATTATTTTTATTCTTATTCAAAAAAGTGATCAATTTGGACCTCAAAATGTTGGGGTTATCATTATTTGTGGTTTGTAAGATGCTCCCTGCCTCTACTGCCAAAGTCTCTCTGTCTGCCCTAGTTGTGTGAGAAGTTAAATTTCAAATTAATATTAAGTATCTCCTCTTCTCCAGGTGTAAACGAAACGTGGCTCAAGTTCAGGAATCTTTTATAGAAGACAAATTCAGCACCACCTACTTCCAGACGCTGCGCCGTAATATCCTGGCCAAATAGGTTTTCTCGTTGTCTTGACTTCAGGTTATAGACCTTTTTCTTCAGTCTCGTGAATGACGTGCCTCTAAAATCCTGCACCTCATCTCCCAATTTGGAGTCCAATACACTGAACTTCAAAAATGATAGCACCTTTTCTGGATTTGCTCCTGATAAATAATAGTCCGAATATTGAGTTTATAATCTATAGAAAGCCAACTTCCACTGATAATGTAGCAAAACGCCCCAAGTACTCTATGTAATTGGATAGATGGTAAACGGCGAGCGGTATATTGATGGTGTTTATTTCCTTGGAGCTGCTACCTATAAAATTGTGGAAGGGTCTATTCGCAAAAGAGAGAAACAAACTATTGAGGTTTACTAAATTATATTTTATTATACATAATACCAGAAATTTAAATCAGCAAAATATTCTTCAATTCTGACAGCCTCATCTATTTTTCTAAATTCAATTACTTCACATCCGTTCCAATGTCATTATAACGGACCGGGAAATATCCATACGAATAAAGAAACGCCCTATTCCTACTATTCCTAATTACTTATAAGTTTATTCATTTCAACACTTCCGATTCATTCCTATCAAACTACCCTTCACCTATCTCTATAAATTCTTAAAAATTCCTAAGTCCTTTACTGACTGCTTATGCAAAAATCAAAATAATTGTTTGTTTATTAATTTAGGTCTTACTAACTTATTCTTAAAAAACCTTACAATAATTTCTACATGAAAAATAAAACCCTAATTCAAATTATCAGCACTTTATCATCAATAATTATTCCAAATTTTTTTTATCATCAATGTTACAACATGAACAACAATTTTCAAACAAAAACTTTTTATCAATTTAATCAGAACAATTACTATTTTTGGAATCCTAGCCTAGCTAAAAAACCCAAATGTTTAATGAATATATCCTTCTCAAAATTAATTCTTGTTAAGTGCATTATAAATTCCCTTCATATTTTCTTTGCAAAATTAAATTAAAATGTCATTATACTCAATGACAATTAAGGTTATGCAATAATGCTCCACAGTCAAAACACTCGAGTTATTACTATTTATGCAATAAAGTTCCAAAGTTAATTCACTTCATAGTCATTCATCATTTATAAAGTCGAAAGTTTTACAAGTAAAAATCACTCAAGTTTTTAGGCATTAAAGTTCAAAGTTTAATCACACAAAGTCATGTTCATCATTTATAGTCAAAATAAATCTTGTCCCTATAGAGTACTTACATTTTGTCTATAAAACACAAAACTAAACTAATTTAATTCTATTGATTACTTTGAGCTCGCACATAGTATTGAACGCCTTTAAATGTTCTTTCACAATTTTCCATTACTTTTCAAAGACTTTTTCCGAGGCTATAAAAGAAACATTCGCGAATTTTACTCGGACTGACACATTAGGTACTGTAGACTTTAACTCAAACTGGACTGGACTGCGAACTCATTTGACCACTCTAATGATCTCAACTAAAACCGCGGTATGTATACTATTCGATCCCCCCAAAATTTCTTTGTCCATAACAATTAAGATGATGCAATCTCCTTGAAATTTTTGTCATTTTTATATGTTTAATATAATGTCGAATAATTATGTCGCAATATCTTGATTTATCGGGGTCAGTACATTGGTTCAAGAATGTGAGAACAACACAAAGAAAGCCGATAGAACACGTGAGCCATAAATCATCGATTTAATTAGGTACGATGGCCTCGCTTAAAAAAGTTCATTGATATATGATTTAGGAGATGACATCACGCTGGACGAAATAATATAATTTCGAATGTATTTGGGGTCACGCTAGTTTGTTCCATTTTCCATTTATCGATACTGATTTGAAGTACCGGAAATTCAGTTTTTGATTATTTGATTATATTTAATTTTTTCAGTATAGACATTGTAATTTACGGGTCTATTATCTGGGGCATAACATCAACATCATCCAATTTTCCTCCATTTTTCCATAAAGCCACAAATTTGCAGCCTTCAATTCGTTTTTGTTTAGATTATTCAAGGTAGGTACCATTATCTGAACGCTTTTACGAAGGAATGGAACACAATTAAACTAATAGCTTTAAATAAAGGGTTTCCCTTAGCTGGTTTGACTAAATTATATTACAAATTCTTAAATAAATACAAACTCTCATACAACATTATACATAATGAAAATAACGTGGAAAAGAGTTTCAGGTCAATCACTTTTTTCGGTAATATTTCCTTACAGTTGGCGAAATTTTTCAAGTCTTACAATATTGATATAGCCTATAAAACAATAAACAGCTTAAAACGACACCTCGTACATAACAAAAACACAACTAATTTCCTTGATAAGTCGGGAGTTCACTCATAAATTGCGGAGATTGTCCTGCTGTTTATGTTGGCCAGTCTGGCAGAAAGGTATAAACTAGCTATTTGCAAAAAATATAGAGATTCTGATATAACTAGTATCAATTCCGCCTTCGCAAACCACTTGTTGACCTCAGGACATAACATTCCCATTCCTGAAAACGTTAAAGATCTAGACCAATGTGATAAGGGTTCGAAATTGGACTTTGCTTTATGTCTCTTTCTCTGGACAGTTGTCACATCGTTCTCCTCTTCTGTTTGCGTTTTCTTGTTCTTCTTTTTTCTTTTTTCATTTACCGCCTAGCTTTTAACGTACTCACTCGGAATTCTTGAGATGGTCGCACCTTGCTCGCCTGCTCCGAACAACTTGCGCATGTCCTCCTTTACTTGGATCTACACCATTTCCAGTTTTAGTTCAAAATAGATAAAGTTGATTTCAAAAAGCATCAAATGTATTTCAAAATAACAACATTAATTTAAAAAAATATCAAATGTATTTCAAAATAACCAAATTTATCTCGAAATACATCAAATGTATTTCAAACTAGTGAAATGTATTCCAAAAATGGTCAGTTTTATTTCAAAGATTATCAATTCGGTTAAAAAATAAAGTATGTGTTTATATCGTACAGTTAAAAAAATAAAATTATAACCAGACACCCTGTACCTCCCTTACAGTTTTTGATGATATAAGAAATGCTGATTTTGAAATACATGTGATTTTTTTGGAAGTATAAATGGTACAGTTTGAAATACATTTGATTAATTTGAAATACAAATGACATATTTGGAAATAAAAGTGACAAATTGGAAATTAAAATATCAATTTTTGAAATAAAAGTGATTATTTTGAAATACATTTGACCGATTTTGAAATACTGTTGGAAATGGTGTAGTTTAGGTTGTGTGATTTCTGTCTTGCCTTTGTCAGCTTCGGGACATGTTCCACTTTTGTTTAACTTATTTTTATAGCGTTTGTATCTTATTTTAAAAAAAATTCTTGTGAAGATGTATTGAATGTATGCGTCTGTTTTAAACACTCACTCCGAGAGTTCAGTTTAAGGTAAAGTTTGTTTCGCCAGGGTTTGTACTTGCCACCAGTATTTGCCTTCCTTGTTTAACAAATAAAAATTGACTGAAACAAATCAATGACGTCAAAAACATTCGTTGGTTTTTAAACAGAAGTCATTCATTTCAATTTGTCAAAAAAATTGAATCTGTCATATGAATTAATCTACGACAACCCTTTTTTTTTCAAGTTTTAGGGTCAAGTATGCACTCTGGTGAAACGAACCTTATGTGTTTCTGTAGATTTTTGTTTTTAAGTGTAAGAGTTTTTTTTTTTATATCTGATGATGCCCATTATTGGGCGAAACATGTCATGTAACCTTGATATTAAAAATTTTTGAGTTTTGAATGATCATGTTTTGGATCAATCAAATCGCATCTAGATAGACCCATAATTTTTCAAATTATTTCAGGAAACTGTGTTACAACTTTCAAAGCTGGAGAGGACCGATTTCTTAATTCCCTGCTGGTTTCGGGGGATGGAAGGTAAGAATCTAATCTATAGTTGGGAATCTGACGCCCCCTAGGAAGCCTTTTAAAGATGCTCTATACAAGTCGCGAACATCCACCTAAAAAACATGAAATCCTATGTAAAATGACGTGCCGGATTGGAATTTCTTATTCGCCCTTTGATCCGGAATTGCGAAATGTGTCAAAACATGACATTTTTGAAAAAACTGAAAATTTCCAGTAGTAATATAACTAGTGCATAAAATATTTCCGGAAATTTTTGAAAATTGTGTGTGAAGCCAATTTTTTAACAAAATCATGAGTGCATAGCGCCTGAAAAAATCCCGAACCCGAAGGGTGAGGGATTTTTTCTTTGGCGCTATGCACGAATGGTTTTGTTCGAAAAAATTGACTAAAGACGAAATTTTTTAAAATTTCCCTTAGGAAATATTTTATGCACGTGTTATATTTTGATAGAAAATTTCCCGAGTTTAAAGTTTATTTACTACGTTGTGTCGAATTTTTTTATTGATACTGATTGTTATTGATCTTTCCCATTTAAATTGCGTTTGTCAAAAATATAGACTTTGACAGATTTCTGACATCAACGCGTTTTAAATGGAAAAGCGGGCATCAATGTCAAAAATGACTATTCTGGAAATTTTTCCCGGGATATTTCCAAAAATTTCCACTTATTAATTTTGACAATTTGTATGCAAAATTTCCAGTGTAATTTGCATAAGGGAAATTTCCAGTAGTAATATAACTAGTGCATAAAATATTTCCGGAAATTTTTGAAAATTTTGTCTCAAGCCAATTTTTTAACAAAATCATGAGTGCATAGCGCCTGAAAAAATCCCGAACCCGAAGGGTGAGGGATTTTTTCTTCGGCGCTATGCACGAATGGTTTTGTTTAAAAAAATTGGCTAAAGACGAAATTTTAAAAAAATTCCCTTAGGAAATATTTTATGCACGTGTTATATTTTGATAGGAAATTTCCCGAGTTTGAAGTTTATTTACTATAAGTTGTTTCGAATATTTTAAATATGATGATATGTTCTGTGATGGTGATTTTTATTGATCTTCCCTATTTAAAATGCGTTTGTCAAAAAATATACACACATATACACTTTGACAGATTTCTGACATCAATGCGTTTTGAATGCAAAAGCTGGTCTCAATGCCAAAAATGACAACCTAAAGGTGGGTTTCCGACGGACGCCGCGCGGCATTGTCGCATTGGAAATTGCACCCGGAAATATCCCGCTCACCAGGGATATTTCCACTTATCAATTTTTGAAAATTACGAGGTAAATTTCCAGTTAAATATGCACAAGGGAAATTTCCATTGAAATAATTTTTTTTGAAAACTAGTGCATAACTTTGTTAATTGATGTCCGATTGTTATGAATTTTGGATATGATATTTTTCAGTACTTCCCTGACATAGTTTCATAACAATAAAAAACATAGAACGTCACATAAAAGTTACGTAATTTTTTTTTCGCCAGATGTGAGTCGAGAAAACTTTTTTATCTTTAGAGATAGATACCTAGTTTAAGCGAGAAAAATGTTGCCAATAGAGTAAAGAAACTTTTTTTACAAAAACTTTTTTTCCATACGACGTTTAGTTTGAGGTGTATTCTTTTTTAAAAACCGAAGAAAATTGAATCACCGCGTCTTAACTCTCGGCATTGCCGGTGAGCGCGGTCTCAGGACGCGGTGCAGCGACTAAAGCGATCAGTGTGTCAAAGAGAGTTAACACCATAGCCTTCTTCACATGTGCAAGAAAGATAACGCGACGACACCGACGGCAGAAGCGTTCCCTTTGAATTTCATTTTGTTTTTCTCCCGCTTATGTTTGTTATTGTAAAAGACATGAAGTACCTACCTATCATAAGTCAAAATATCAATTTTAACGAGTGTATTTTGTGTCAATCAAGTAATTAGGAAACGGTACAGAACAGAGTGTCACAAAAGAAGCCGTACCTACATTTTCTGTTTCAAGCATGTATTGTCATTGAGAAAGGCGATCGTTATTCCATAGCTCTTACGGCCAATTTCATGATCAACTTAAAGTAAACTTTCCATTTGAAGTTGAAAAATCCTATCCTAAAAGTCTATTTAGCTAAAGTAACTTTTAAGTAATTCTTTATTATGAAATTGACCGTTAGATACTATGCTGACAAAAGAGAACTGTTTTTATCATTAAATCCTGTTTATCACCCTAAATTCTAAATGTAGACGAGCTTTTACCAGGAAAGCCTACAAGAAAAGACCTGAACCAGAAGAAGGTGCTTCAAAATGTACTAGTAAGCGAATTAAATCCTCTTATTCAAAGATTTGCATAATATGCAATAAAATTCGCGATAGTAGCTGACATTTGATAAGCAAAATGAAATATGGAACATGGCAAAAACAACCATCAACTTTTGCATTGAATTCAAGGATTTGGTAATAATTGTATTTACATGATTGCTCACGAATGTGCATATCAATCGTATCATAGTCTGTGTTTCTTGAAACTATTCCAAAAATCAAAATCAGAAGTAAATTCCCTACAAGAAGTACTTTTGTTTGGAACTATTTTTATTAAAATTCAATCTTATATAGAAAATGCCCTATTTATAGAAAATAGGGTCTTCACAATAGAAATAATCCTACATAGGGAAGCAAGGAAGCAAAGTTATGGAACGTTGAGTGTACTGCACAATATCCATCGTCAGGAGAGATTATCAATAACCTGCAAAGTCTTTTTGAGAGAACAATTATGGTTGCTCTCCGAGATGGAAAACTTTCAAGTTATCTTTGCTCTACTAAAGTAATTATCAATAAATAAGACGCTGTAAGGAATTCAAGTTCTTCAAATTCTGACGCTGACGCCACATTTTTCAATGAAGGCCATTCTCCTTATAAACTACAATCAAATGTTTAATATTTGAGGGCGGATTATTGCAAATTGTGTGCAGCAAGACACTTTGACAATTACTGAAGAATGTGCATCCTAATATCATAACAAAGTCATTATACAACCTTTTTCGTGGATACTTACTGAGAAACTAGTGAAAAAGAAGTAAAGGACCCCGCACACCTCTTATGGGTTTTTGGTTTTCTGTCAAACTCAATGAAATTTTGATATGTGTTAGGCCTTGACTTCCTGATAAAAAGTTCTTATGGGCCCGAACTAATCCTATGATTAGTTTTTGAGATACAGGTACTTTTATGTCCAAGAAATGTATACATTTTATATGTATTCACAATCTACCTGTCACCTAATAAATAGGTCTGTTTCTGAAAAAATCACAAACTTGTCAGAGCGAATTTGATTGGTCGAAAACAGTCAGAAACAGTCATTAAACTAGTTACAACCAATGAAATTCACTCTGACAGACCTAATAATAGGTGATAGGTAGATGTGAATGCATATAAAATGTGTACATTTCTTGAACATTAAACCACCTGTATTTCGGAAACTAATCATAGTATCGGGTTGGGCCCCTGAGAACTTTTTATCAGTAAGTCAAGATATACCACATATCAAAATTTCATTGAGTTTGACAGAAAACCAAAAACCCATAAGATGTGTGCGGGGTCCTTTTGACAAAGATTGAAAAGCTCTGTTGGAAGAGAAGCTTGAAGAAAAGGTTTTGGATATTTGTCAAGATTTTTTATTTGTATTAATTGGAATGAAAACACCAAAACATGTGGAATTAGCCGTTTACTACAAAATTTTGAATTGAGCCTGATGCTTTTTTTTTAAAAAGAAATCTTGTTGCTATTATTTTTTACTGACATTAATTGGATTCCCTAGAAATAGATTCCATATTTGGAAATAATTAATAAATAAATAAATGGAATTTTTATACCTTTTATGTGACGTTTTTTTTTTTTTTTCCTTTTTTGGCAGTGTTTGAGAGAAAATGCATTGTGAAATAAATATTTCGATTGGGTAATGATAATATTGTTTTTTATACTTGTAAAAAAAATTATTATTAATATTTTTCCTATTCATATTGTTTCCCAACCCAACCAAACCCATAAATCCCCCATTTCCCTATACTCCCTACAATATTATAACAATATCGTAAAGCGTGTCTTTGTTGCACGTATGAAGAAAGCTGTGGTGTTAACTCTCTCTGACACACTGATCCGCTGCACCGCCTCCTAAGATCGCGCTCACCGGCAATGCCGAGAGTTGAGACGCGGCGATTCAATTTTCTTCGGTTTTTAAAAAAGAATACACCTCAAACTAAACGTCGTATGGAAAAAAAGTTTTAGTAAAAAAGTTTCTTTACTCTATTGGCAACATTTTTATCGCTTATACTAGGTATCTATCTCTAAAGATAAAAAAGTTTCCTCGACTCACCATTTAACGCTGCAAAATGACGATATTTTGTGTCATCTAGCGAAAAAAAAATTACGTAGCTTTTATGTGATGTTCTATGTTTTTTATTGTTATGAAACTATGTCAGGGAAGTACTGAAAAATATCATATCCAAAATTCATAACAATCGGACATCAATTAACAAAGTTATGCACTAGTTTTCAAAAAAAAATTATTTCAATGGAAATTTTCAGTTTTTTCAAAAATGTCATGTTTTGACACATTTCGCAATTCCGGATCAAAGGGCGAACAAGAAATTCGAATCCGGCAGGTCATTTTACATAGGATTTTATGTTTTTTGGGTAGATGTTCGCGACTTGTATAGAGGTGGTCGAATTCAGCACCTCAGATTCCCGACTACTACTTTTATTTTTTCCCAAGATAGATTTTGACATTGAAAACTTTGAAAAATAAACAATAACGCTTGACCCTGATTGGTCGCAAAATGAGGTGTTTCTGCAGGTTGACATCAGTTTTACAATAGCGACCAATAAGCGGCATTAGGGGCATTAGCGGCATTGTTTATGTTTCAAAGTTGACAATGCCGAAATCTATCTTGGAAAAAAATAAACCATAGGTGAATTAAGGTGAACAGGGTTTCCCTTTCTCGAAACCAACCATTGATCTCGGAAATGGTAAAGAAAAAACGAGATCGGTTCCCTTTTTCAAATTTTCTCAGCCGAAAGGCTTCCTGATACTGAATTTATTCAAATTAAAAATTCCACCCTGTATTATATAATGGTAGATGTAAGATCCTTGCTTAGATTCAAAAAAGTAGCATCACAAAGGACTCAGAAATGTCATAACCCGACTGCAGAATAAATGGCATATCGATCTAACACCTATAGTCGAAAAAAAAAAAAAAAAAAAAAAAAACGAGAGTAGCAGAAGCCTTCTAAACTGTTCACGTTCACAAAGCTAAAAGTCTCCTAACAAATTATAAGACAAAGTAGGTAACATAAAACAGGGATATAAAAATCATCGTCTTCGAATGATCAATTACTCCCTTAAAATGGGATATAAACTCAATAGTTATGATGGTTGATACTAAAGGTACATTCAATGGTGAATAGCTATTGATGATTGAGGGAGATTCTGTGATAAAAGTTTAAAAAAAAAATAATCTAGGAAATGGAATTGCTTAGCCTATTGCTTATACGTACAAAGTACCCTTTGGCCAAACGGCCAAGTAAAGGCAGGTCATACTCACAAATTATTAAAGAAGAAAGCCCGTACCCATTCGGACTTATTTACACTGTTACACTAGACAATATGAATTCGATTTTCAAACAAAATGTTCATATCACGAAAACGTAAATCAATAAATTGCCTTAAAGCAAAAATAAATAATTTCAAAATTCAATAGCAGGATGTTTTTGAATCTCCAGAATAATTTTTTTTTATAATATAAATACATATTAAAGAGTCCATCATACGGGGGAGTACTGTGTATAATGTACCTTGTATATTGGCTTCAACAGAGAGCTTTTATTAGAAATTAAAATTTGAAGATAGAAATATTGAAAATAGCAAAATTAATCGTGACTTTTTAGGGTTCTCGTGTGCGGAGATGAAACACAAAAACCTTTCCCTTTATTAGTTTGGAATCTAAAATCGAAAAAGCTACTTTACGACCTCAGGATACCTCATCATGACTTTATTACATCGTTAAGTGCGATCACACATGAAGGTAATCGTTTTACCTTATCTTTAATATCCCTAGTAACAGTTTGTTTGTTTTCAGGCAACTACGTTTGCTGTGTGTGTCACGAAATCGACGACGAAAGTCCCAACTTTATTGTAGTCTACGATCTACAAAGCGGCACGCTCTTCAAAAAATGGAAGCCATCTTGCAACACTGTGTCATTAGAAATAAGTTCTCAAGGAGGTTGTGTGATATCCGGTCTGGAAGATGCCAGAATTTTAGTTTGGGACCTTATAACTGGCAACTGTAGGTTCTCCCTAAGCGGCCATACAGCTCCCGTATCCAGTTTGAGACTGGACCCCACAGGATCCTTGTGTCTTTCTAGAGACTCCGAGTGTAGAGACAGGTCAATTAGATTATGGGATCTCAACAAGGGCAATCTCCTAGCAGTTTACACGCCTCAAACTAAAATAAGCGCTTGTGAAGTCACTCAAAACGGCCATCACGTGATTTTGGCTCTCCAAGGTCATAAAGATTTAATTACTTTGCAATTACGTGGGCCCAAACTTGAGGAGTGTCAATTGGATGAGACGTATGGCGATGAAGAGTTTAGTGGGAAAAGTTGGCAGTTGAGTGACGATACCGCGTCGTAGAGGATAAGTACAAAAATGTTGCAAGTGTATTTATGTGTTGATTCATATAAGGAAAAATTGTTTTCGTTATTTAAATCTGTTAATTATGAATGGAATTGCTAAGCAATGTAAGCTAGAAAAGCAGGAGATTGTTAATTACCCTTATTAGGTTTAAGTTTTTACTATTAGGGACGCACTCAATACTTAAATAATAATAGGACTAGAGTTGATTTTTTCATTTCTTGGATTGAAGAATATAATAATAATATAGTCTCATAATCTAGAGCGGGGTCCGCCTGTATCACCGCTCGCGTTTTTTTAATGTTCACTAGCATCAAAGATGTCTTGCCTTAAATATTTTTTGAGTTTTATATCATGATTTTATATTGAAAAATTCACAATCAGCAGCTCGTGCTCCATTTCCAGCCTCCGCTCTAGTTAGATCATATAATTCTAGCAGTTTTCCAACACTTTAGGAAAGTACACAAAAGGACGCTATAATTATGGTCGTTCCAAGTAAATTATGCTTCTCTGTTTTTTTTTTCTTCAGCTTGGTGGAACCCTGCTAATGTTTAATTAAAAGTGCCAATTTGCTTTTTTTTTAATTTATTTTGAACACAACGAGTCAAGCGCAAATTTCGAGATCATCGAATAAACTCATTGTTTAATGAGATTATTGGTTGTTACGGAATGTTATTTTTCTGTAATACTTTATTGATTATTTGTATATTTTATAGGTCCGTTATTCGTTGGTCAAAAATATTGGGCACTAATTAATTTAGCCATCACATGGGTTACTTGGTATCTAGACTAGGAGTAGGTACCTATGTATAGCCCATCGACGTAAACGACCCATAAGTTTTTTTTTTGTTTGAGGGCTATTAAAGTCAAAAGGGAGTTGTGTTCAGTGATAATACGAAACCTCACACATGTAAGGACCCAAACTTCAACATAGCATAGTTAAAGCCTAACATTCCCTTCCATCATGCTTTAGACTTGTTGCGATGAGCGACAATATTTTCTCTTCTTTTCCAATTTTTTTGGAATCATTTCCAATTCTCTAAAATTCTTATGCACAACAGTACCATGCCCAAATCCAGGCAATACCAATAATTACCTAGTTAACAAGGCACAAATAGGTATCTAGACAAAAACCTCTTCTATTTCTGCGATTTTTTTCTGAGTAGATATAATCTTGTTGGCAATGTGATTTTTAAAATCTCTTGCTCAAAAACCATACCTACCCAAATTACGCTGAATGGTCACTCATCACAATAAAGTCATAGATAGTAGATAGTGGGCCAATTGTATTCTCCGTTGGAGTGTTACTAGTTAAGCCAGCTGACAGAATTGATCTAGATCAGTGTGACAGCGAAGTACCTGCTAATTGTGACCATTGATGGCCATGGTCCCCTATCTCTCTTGTATTCTCTTACCTTACATACCCTACTTTGTAAGTACCCCTATTAGTTTCCCTAAATTGTTCCGAGCCAGTTGGAGAAGATTTTCTGTCAGGTCAGGTTGGGTTAGTTTGGGCTAGTACTCAAGTGCCTGAAGCCCTGTCTCGCCCATCCCTCACTTAGAATTCTGTAGGTGTGTTCTTTGAAATCTAGGTTCACAGTTTTGCTAGTCAACATCACAAAAGACTTAGGACCGATTGGTCTCCTTTTTGCTCCACTGTGGCTTTTAATCCACCACATCATGACTGTATTGCGCGATTCTCTCTAATGTCTGGTGGCACTCAAGGCTTAATTAAGATGTTACTTTCATCTTATTTAAGGTTTGCAATACTTGCTTGTTATCTGTGAGAAAGATGTTCCCATAATCCTTCTTTCCTGTATTTGTAGAGCTCCCTGTATTATTCCAAGCAGCACTTCCAGAAATACTGACAGGTTACCGCCTAAAGCTGTAAGTTATTTCTAGGTCGAGTTCAGGTATATACACACCTAGCCCAGTCCCGGAGGGGTTTTTTGAACCGTCCATGTAAATATGTATTTCTGCCCGCATGCCTTGTTTAGTTGGGCCCCTTAGTTTCACCTTAAAGGCATTCTTAAAGTTGAAACGTGGGATCACTGTATCCGTCCAGTGTTCTAGCAGTGGTTGTTGTTCGACATCTTTCTGAAACACTCAGACACACCACAATCCAACAATTATATTGGACATTATTACTTAACTAACTTAATAATGTCGACCTAACTAAAGAGACAGGGTCTTTTATATTTTAAAACATGTTGATCTTGCTGTTTCTATGGGAGCGTTGCGAGGATGTAGCAGTTCTTGGCGTGACATGTTCAGACAGGATAACTTGCTGAAGAAGCTTCTAGACTTTGCGATACTTTGTACGACCGTGGTGATGTCTAAGATTGGGTCAGCTTGAGTAAATTTTGGTAAGTTTATCCCTAACTATTAGGGCGTAGTTACGAACTGGGAATTCAAAAAGGTCAATGTTTATCCTTTCAAATGGAGTTTTGGGAGTTTCAGTAATAACGAGAGGAGAACTAAGATTTTTCCTACAGATTTAGACTTTTTGGTAGATTTCGCAGGCTCTGATGAAATTTCTCAACATCTTTGGTTAAACCTTGTCAGGAGGATTTGTCTTTAATCCTTCTAACGGTTTCATTGATTCCACGATTTGAATTTGTTTTTCGAGTATGATATTGGTCAGGGATAATTGGGATTTGGTCTTGATCTGGGGTTTTGACGATATTTTGGCATGTCTTAAGCTTAATGTCTTTTTCGGCAAATATAAAGAAAAATATTTCAAGAATAGGTAATTCCAGATTGTTTTCTATGCAAAAGGTTTTTTCAGGGTCAAATTCGTTTTGACACTTGAAAAGCGAGTAAAAGAGGGTAGGGACTATTTTCTCATTTTTACAAGGAATGGAAATTATGAAGTACTTGCGTGCCTTCACAGATTTGCTCGATAAAATGTTAACCTGATTAGGTTGAAAATCGAAATTTTCCTCGAATAGATCATCTATAATTTTGTAACTTATGTAAGTCTGTTAGTTTGATTTGCCAAAAGAATGTTACATATTTTTGTGAGACTTGTCCAGAAGTTGTAGGTCCATCTTTGAGTAGTCAATAATTGATCTGGTTTTGAAGAGATTCACGAAAGAGTTGTATTCTTCCTCAATTAGGGTTGTTTCAAGATATGTTCGTGGATGGTAGGAAAGTAAACGATAATATCGTCCATGTAGACTACGGAAAAAGCGGTTTTCGAAATATCCTTGGGTTCTACTTCTATTTGGTGAAAACCTGAGGCTAGGTCAAGGGTGGTAAAATATTGACATTTTCCCAATTGATCCAGAACTGAGATCCAGAAGATCAGAAATATATATAGGCAGCGGGTATTTGTCGTTTACAGTAATAAGACCATGGAGCTACAGAATGGCGAATTATGCCTTAGTCTAGCATTTTGGTAACTTGGGATTTGACTTCTTCTTTGTGGATTTGGGGGTACCTGTAAGATTTGGTATACACCGGCTTTGCATTATTGGTGTCAATAGGGTGTTTAATATCACTAGTAAATGTGAGCGTGTCACCTTCCAGTTAGAAAATGTCGGAAAAGTTCAGGCATAAGTTGGTAATTAGTTCTTTTTCTTCGTCGTTTAAATGTTCTGTACGAAGTTCATTTTGTATGGACATTTGCCTATCATAAGTATCTTCATAGTCGAGCTTAGAGTTGTTAAAACTTAGAATGGCTTTTTGAGTTTCATTTTCTGAGACAAATGGTTCGATAGACCAGTTGGAAAACTCCACGGTTTTTTCTATAGTGTTAATATTTACAATTGAGGTTAAAAATTCACCTTGTTCATTGACTTTTAGTAAAGCATTAGGTCATTTGACTTTTTCTTTTTCTTGAGAAAAGAGTAAAGCATTTGTGTACGATAGATTACACTTGAGTTTTAAGATCTTTCTACTTCTAGCTTCAATAGATATTTTGTTAAGAATTGTTTCAGTGTTGTTTGGTTTTACTTTATCGTGGTAGTCATCTTCAGTGACTTTATGAAGAGGGATAGTTTTGAAATTAGTTACAAGTTCTTTAGCTTTTAAATCTATCACACATTGATAATGTTCTAGGAAATCCAACCCTAAAATTCCATCGAAATCAATATGCTGGTTTTGTAAAATTCAGCACAAAACCTGCTAAACCAGCAAACAACAGTAAAAGTTAGCAAAATCCGCCGATTTTTCCACGGTATCGAAAAAGTTCCCAGGCTCAAGTAAACCTATACCTACTAACGTACCTCCGAAAAAACTGCAAAACTTCTACTAGAAACCCATTTTCCAGAATATAAAATCATAGACACCGCCGAAATCCCAGTATGGCCCGGCGACCACGGACAACTGGAACATGCTGTTACAGAAACGGGTGGTTTCGAATGACAAAATCACTTGGGCAATACTTACCTTCAAACAATTTAAGTTCGCAGAAGTTGACGGAGACATTCCTACATTGAATAAAGAATGAAGGCTTTCACGGCCGGTCAAATCCGAGGATGATAAACATGTTCTCAGGCTCAAGTGACTCTATACCTACTTATGTTTACCGTCACTTCTCTTCCTGGTTGCATTATAGGATCTTTTGAGAGAACTTTTTTGACCCTAGAGACGGTTGACGTGGTAGAGATCTCGTTGCAAAAGTTCTTTCAAGCTGCTCTTTTCTTCACTCTGAACTACTTTTCATAAGTCCTTATATGTTATTTGTATGCTACCCAGTTTGGGTCTATCTTGAAACAAGTTGTCGTTCAAGGAACGGACATGCACATGAACCTACTTTCATTCAACTATACAACAATTGTAATGATGATTTTATCAAGTTAACCAATCTAGATGTTATTAATCCAGCTTAGATTTCTTAAATCACAGAGTTTCTAACTTTATCAACATAAATGACATCTATTTGCGATTTTCTCTCAAGTGTCTATATTAAGAAAATACATCAGATTAGTGAAGGAAGATCTCCCTGGCTGAAAACCATGTTGAAAACTTGAGATTTTTCATGCTACAAACCCATTAAAAATATCAGAATCTTAGAAACATCAGAAGTGACAGCAACACCTCCAACATTATTAATCTGTTTGTTTCTTGAAAATGGAAATCACTTCAGTGGATTTCCATCTAGACGGATTAACCGAAGATAAAAAGCTCAGAAAAAAAATTCAGGGGATCTCGTCACCATCCTTAAGAAAATGTATGTCGGAGTCCCATTAGATCCAATGGCTATATTACCATCTTTATTGTACATCGAAAATCAATCCCATGACATCTAAGTCAATTTTCGTCTATCTGGTCTGGAAGTGTGTTTTTCCTGTTAAAACACTCCAAATTGCAGCACCCTGTACTTTCTACATCAGAGAAAGTTAGGTACCAGTCTTAAAATAAGAATTTAAATACCTGAAAATATGCACACTTTATATCAAGACGCAGAACCATTAAACATGTTCTAAGCACTCCTAGTGGGTTTATTATCGATTCGGATCACCTGATTGACAGTTGATGACAAACCCTGACTTGGTGCATTTACGAAAAATCGACAAAAGCCCTCGGGTATTCTTGACTTTCTCACCACCAATTATTATCAATATGTATTTCTTTATTCTAGGTTTGTTCCAACCCCTCAAAAAACCGTCTCGGAACAGTTTTGGAACCACTCTGTATGCGAATTTCGGTTTCCTGCTGGGTTGGAACAAAACTTTTCTTTAGCCTTCACTTTTATAAATTTTTCATCCTTCTTCACTAATTTGAGCATATTCGAAGTTAAATTCGTCCAAAACTGCTCCTATATTCTCAATTATTACAAGTTTGTTGGTTGAGTCTTCCATCATCATACTGATTTTCATCAGCCATAACGACATATTTTTCAGTCATTGGTGCCTCTTTATTTTTATATTAACTTGCTCAAAATTAAACCGATTCCTCCTTGAACGACTGCTTCTCAACTTTTACGTCATGAAATTCGTAATCCGTTTTTGACGATTACAACAATATCTTCCTTAACATTTCATCATTTCAGGGGTCATGATTGTCCAACCTCCATCAAATGTAGCTACTACTACAACTATCAATAAATGAAAATTGCCTAATATTTTTGGCTGGTCAGTTAGTCGCTCATAAAGCGAAACATAAAATTTGTAAATTGAAGTAGATCAAGAAAACGACCAATTATATTAATTGATTAAAAAGGGAAACAAATTTAAAAAGAGTTGAAACTAGGACCATTTACTGATAACATTTGTCTTCGTTTTTTTTTTTTCGTATTTGTAGTATTTTTTCGCACAAGAACTGGTCCACTTACAATTTAAACTAACATTATTGTATAAAAGTACCCACACAATTCCCGATCCTGAACTAATAATAATTATTGATTAATAAAGCACAAACGTATAATAGTCTAGTCCAAAAGTACTTAATCAAAATATAGTAATGTGTCTGTGCTGGTAACAACTCATCTTTATATTTTGAAAAACTCACCCTTGAAAATTTGCATTGCAGAAAAACATATACAGGGTGATTTTGAGATTAATGTGTAACATAAAAAGTAGATAGGATAGTAGCTATATTATCATATATGACGAAATCTGGTACATATTTAAATCTAAAAAAGAATTATCTTCTACAAAAAATGGTTAGAGTAGTTATAGATATAAAATTATGTCCATGATTGCCAATTCTTTTTAATCGTTTTAGGAAGCGCATCTTATGGAAAATCGTCAGAGTTAAATGAATTCTTTGGATTAATAATAAAGTCTATCCAAAGGGTATACCTACATTAAACTAAGATCTATTTTCAAAAAATAAAACATTCTAAAAGTCTATATAAATTTGTAAATCCCTATATAAAAGATAAGTAGATATAACGTAAAAATGTAAAACTATTAAGAAATATCGAAAAAATATCTTAAAAGTTTGACTTATGGTACACAGAGACTTAGAAAATACTCTAAAACATATATTGTTGTATTATAAGCAAATTTGTTTAGAATTTTGTTGCTATTATTCCATGTATCTCTTGAACTCTGAAGCGGTATTTGAATATAGACTCACCTACTGAAAAAAGAAAAATACAAAATTCTGCAGCAACAAAAATGTTCAAATACGCGCAACTATATTATTTTTTCAAGATTTCTCTGTATTTTCTAATGTCTCTGTATTGTTGATTTCAAAGGCTTTATAATTTATAAGTATCCCATCTGGTATGTGGATCAATATAACCGATTTATTATACAAATCGATAAAAGTGTGTAAGTACCACCTAATAATTCCTTGAAGAAGATTTTATGTTTTTGAATGTTGTGTAAAAAATAAATATGAGATAGAAGATAAAAAATAAAATGCAGAATATTGAAAAAGAAAAATAATTCGTTTTATTTTCCTATCTTTTTCAAGTTGTTTGTATAATAATACTCTGTTCTTCTCTGAAGCGCTGTCGTTGGGATCAGGATCTTCCTTCGATCTATTCCAGAGAGCCTATAAATAGGTATGAAATTAGTTTTGCTTATGGAAGCAGATGATTGCCGACTGCCATAAGCGACGCAGTTTTCCGGATTTTGAGTCTTTGCAAGGTTCAGAATTTTTGGCTCATTTTGAGTATTTGAAACCTGAAGGTTATTGAATTTGTCTTGAATCTGCACAAAAAAAATCTGTATAGGTACCAATAATGAATTACTTATCATATCTTTGAATTTTAATTTTAGTTCAGTAAGTATTAATCAAGACACGTTAGGTCAAAGCACTGGCATCTATTTTTTTTTTAAATTTTTATTGATACACTCTACAAACACCATGTAGGTATATGTAGAGGCAAACACAAAATACAACCATGCACCTTGCCGCCGGGCTCGTACCCGGGCCCTTCGACATGCGAAGCAAACACACTATCCACTACGCTGCCGGTCTTATCGATTATAAAATGTGTATAAGATAAGGAGGGCCAGTATGGGGATCTGATGGGCCAAAGACGAAATGTCGGATTACAAATTTGATGTATGTCTATAAGTAGAATATGGATTAGAGACCATATCTGCCAGTCTGCCAAACTTAGAGATGCGTCCATGGTTGCCATTTCCAAAAAGGGAGACAAGGCTCAACGTGGTAACTATAGAGGAATATCTTTACTTTTTGTTGCGGGTTACATAGGTACTTGCCAGGATATTATCAAATCATCTAATCCCCACTGATACAGTGTGGCTTTGGACCCAACCGGGGTACAGCTGACATGAATTTCAGTGCAAGACAAATGCAAGAGAAATACAGATATTAAAATCGCTCTCCAAACAAGGCCTTCATGGATTTTGTGGAAGCATTTGATTCGGTCAACAGAGAAGTTTTTTGAAAGATATTGGCAAAGGTTGGTGTTAAATTAGATTTAAATTGCGTTTTTTTTTTTAAGATAATTCCCCAAGTCAAAAATTTAGTAACTATGTTGGCAACACAAGCCTTTTCTGCATAAAATATTTGAAAGCATTGACAATTTTACATTGTATTGCCAACATAATGTCATTTTGACTTTTATCTTTCAAAAAAAAAAACACACTTTAGATTAAATTAAATATTGTTTCTGAACATATTATATTAGTACCAGCAAATTTGTTATCCACAAGCAATTTGGAAAATAACTGGTATTGATTGTATTGTCATAAAATTTGTCAAATAAATTAAAAATTCTGTCTAGTTCAAGATAATTTCTCTCCGAATAAAAGAAATTTATTCAAATATACAGTCCATTAAACTAATATTGCATTAGTTATAAACATTGGTCGCTACGAGCCGGATATATTCATGTAAGTTCCAGCTAAATAGTGGGTATTCACGCAATAAATGTGAATATTGGAATTGGTGTTTCTCCATTGATGATTGGAAAACGACTGTTTGTCTAACAGTTGGATTGTTCCACCACGGGTCTTCAGTTGGAATTAAATAAGGTAAGAGAATTGCTGAGATTTAAAAAAAAAAGTGTGTTTAGATTTGAATCAGTGAAATGTCTGACGAATCAAAGTTAAAGATTAAAAAGAGTAATTTAAAATCTAAATTAACACGATTTAACAATTATTTTGATAATTTAAATAAAGATAATTTAACTGGAGAGATAATTATAGAATTAGAGGAAATATTGAAAATTTTAGAACCAATTTTATCTGAATTTAATGATGTTATTTGTGAACTTTGTTCTTTAAATAAAGAACAAGAAACAGGCCTCCTTGAAGAAGAGGAGGATTTTGAAAATAAGTTCTATAATTTATGTAGTCGGGCAAAATTAATTATTAAAAATGTACGTACTGACTCTGACACAAATTCCGAAACAAGCAAAGGTAGTGTAGAATCAACTAGACATAGAAATCATAATTCAAATGATCATAATCCAATAGTAAAATTGCCACCCATAACTATACCACCATTTGATGGTAAATATTGCAACTGGTTGCAGTTTAAAGATGCGTTTATTTCATTAATTGATCAAAATAAGTTACTCAGCGACATCCAAAAATTCTATTATTTGAGAAGTTCTCTGAATAAGGATGTTCTTGAAGCAATTCAATCTATTGAGGTATCAGCAATAAATTATAATGTCGCATGGCAGTTTTTACTCGAAAGATATGAAAATAAGTCCCTAATGATTCATAATCATATTAAAATCATTTTTGAATATCCAAAGTTAAGGGATGAATCACATGTAGGATTGAGAAATTTATTTGATACAACTACAAAACAGTTACGTTCTCTAAAAAGTTTAGGAGAAAATACTGATTCATGGGATAGGTTAATCATCTATATTTTAGCAAATAAATTTGATACTGTTACACGTCGGGAGTGGGAAAATCATAAATACCAGAACGACCTACCTTCGTTACAAGATTTGAATAGCTTTCTTAAAAATAAATGCGACATATTAGAGAAAATAGAGGCCACTGGCTTGGAAATTCTTGATAACAAGGGTAAAAGGAGTCGTAGTCATGGTTTGCTAGCTTCAGATAATAAATTAAAATGTTATTATTGTTCAAAAGATCACAGTATTTTTAAATGTGATTCGTTTTTGAAACTATCTACTCAGCAAAAAATTGAATCAATAAAAAGTTTAAAATTATGTTTAAATTGCTTCAGAAATACACTTCAGTCATGGAAATGTAAACTAAATAAATGTGCGAAATGTCATAAACCGCATAACACCTTGTTACATTTGGAAAATATAAATAGAGATTCTTTAGTAACTCCGGAAATTCGCGATTCCAGTGTAGTTACCCATGTACAGAAGAGCGATTTTGCTATATCTAGTTCTCAAGTATTATTATCTACAATAAAACTTATAGTAAAAAATGGTGGGAAGGAAATAACATGTAGGGCACTTCTAGATAGTGGATCTCAAAGTAATTTCATCTCCAAATCATTCTGTGAAAAGCTCAATTTGGAATATGTTAAAATTAATCATGCCGTTAAGGGAATTGGACAGATGTTATCTAATATAGATCGCCAAGTAAATATCAAAATATTGTCACGAGTTAATTCTTTTGAACAAAATATAAACTGTTTAGTGATACAGAAAATTACAGATAGATTACCTGTTTGTAGTTTCAATGAAAGTTTACTCCAAATACCGATGGAGTTAGAATTAGCAGATCCTGATTTTAACGTTTCGAAAGAAATTGATATATTATTGGGATCTGGAATATTTTGGACGGCTATTTATTCAGGACAAATTTCATTAGGAAATAAACTTCCCATTTTACAGAATACTGCATTTGGATGGATAGTTGCAGGAAATATGCAAATAGGCTTTAATAACGTTAATTTGTCAATAAATTGTTTTTGTAATGACACTAATGGGTGTAATCTTGACACTAGTATCATGAAATTCTGGGAATTAGAGGATGTTTTGAGTAAAAAAAATGTTTTATCGGAGACAGAAAGATATTGCGAGGAACTTTTTGACTCCACCACATCAGAGACTACAACGGTAGATATATTGTGAGAATCCCTTTCAAAAAATCTATTTCAAATTTAGGAAACTCTAAAATTAATGCACTTAATAGATTTTATGGTTTAGAGAGAAAATTGATTAAAAATCCAGATTTAAGAAAGGAATATATACAATTTATGGATGAGTATATCTCTTTAAATCATATGTCAGAGTATAAGGATTTTGATTGTGAAAGTATGGGTTATTATTTGCCTCACCATGCGGTCATCAAAAGCACGAGTCTAACTACTAAGTTACGAACAGTTTTTGATGCCTCGTGTAAGACTACTTCTGGTTTGTCTCTGAATGATGTGCAATTTGTTGGGCCTACATTGCAACAGGATATTTTCAAAATATTAGTAAGATTTCGCACACATAAGTATGTAATGACAGGTGATGTGAGTAAAATGTACCGCCAAATACTTATAAATGAAGATTATCAAGTATATCAAAAAATATTTTGGCGATCACATCCTGATGAAGAGCTTAAATGTTATATCTTGCATACTGTTACCTATGGAACTGCGTCTGCTCCTTACTTAGCGGTTAAATGTCTTTTTGACATAGCAAAACAAAATGAAGACAATAAACTGATAAGCAAAATCATCAGGCGAGATTTTTACATGGATGACTTACTCACCGGGGCAAATTCAAAAGAAGAACTGTTGTATATTCAAAAAAATATTTATGAATTTTAAGCCAAATCTGGTTTTGAATTACGCAAATGGCTATGTAATGATAAAGATGTTCTGAACGATTTTAAGATTAGTAATAATGTAGATGTAAGTATATTAAATATCGGTGATAATGAATCAAATAAAATTTTAGGTATTTTTTGGAATGCTCAAGGTGATTCCATAAATTATAAAATAAGTCTAGATATTCTAACATTAAAGAAAATTACTAAAAGAACAATTTTATCAGTTATATCCCAGATATATGATCCGTTGGGTTTGTTGGGACCCATAATCATAGTTGCCAAATTATTAATTCAAGATATTTGGAAACTCAGGATAAACTGGGACGATGAATTACCTAGCTATATACTTAAGATCTGGCAGGAATTTCAGCACAGTATCACTTCAATTAATTAATTTAAAATATATAGAAACGTATTTTCAGATTATGTTCAAATAGAATTACATGGTTTTGGTGACGCCTCAGTAAAAGCATATGGCGCTTGCGTTTATGTTCGATGTTCTTTGAGAAATTGTAATTTTATGACCAATTTGTTATGTGCCAAAAGTCGAGTCGCTCCTGTGTGCAGCACAGTTATTGGCTAATTTAGTTAAAAAGGTTATGACAGCTTTAGAAATCAAGTTCGACAAATATTATTTTTGGTCAGATTCGATGATAACTTTATATTGGATTCGTGGTGAATCGTCTTCTTGGAAGACTTTTGTGGCTAATAGGGTT